TCTGGAAAAATGGAACAGAGAAAATAGAGGTAGAATATTAATGGAGAAGTAACAAAAAAATTTTGTAGAACTGCAGGACATTAATTTCCAGATTGGAAGAACCTGTGCCCCCAAACAATGAACAAGTCTTATATCAAGGTATATTGTTATAAAATTTCAGAGTACCAAGGATAAAAAGATGTTAAAAAAAAAAAAAAAAACTTCCAAAAGAAAAAAAGAACCACATTTAAAAGGAATGAGAAATATGATTATTAAATGCACCATGTGATCCTTCGATTCTGGATTAAAAAGCAAAAAATGAAACATCTATAAAGGACTTTAGACAACAGGGGAAATTTGAATATAGACAGACTATAAATTAGATACTAGTATTATATAAATGTTAAGTTTCCTCAGGATGAAAATTCTACTTAGATTATGTAGGATAATGTCCCTGTTCTTAGGAGAAATCTGTTGAAGTGTTTAAGGATAAATAATCACAGTGGATGTAATTTACTCTCAAATTACTTCAGCAAAAGAAAAGAGTTTGTATCTCTTACAAAGACATAAAACAAATGCGATCAAATGTTCACAGTTGGAGAATGTAGGTAAAGAATATACACGGATTTTCACTGTACTATTCTTACAATTTTTCTGTAGACTTGAAACTTTCAAAACACAGATGGTGGGAAAGCAGAAGCAGCAAAAGGGTGTGAAGAAGGGAAAGGAAAAGAATCACCTCCCAGGAAACAAAACGATGGAGCAGAGTCTTCAAGTCTGAAGAAAACACACAACCAGAGTTCGATACTTAGCCAAACGACATGTGAAGGACCGAAATCTTCATCCATCACAGCTACAAATGATGTTAAAACTTCAAGAAATAAAATCAGTGTATTATTTAGAAATATATAAATACTAGAATATGGTGGTTATGGGGAAAAAAGCTAAGAAAGGATGTAAAAGGCTTTAATTTTTAAAAAGTATAATACTTTGTTGACTTTTTAAAACAATTTTTAAATAGAGATTTATCTCCTATAAAAGTATGCTATGGTAAGAAAAAAAATAAAAGATTTAAACCATGTTCATGTTCATGTATGGGAAGACTCAATATTCCAAGTCTCAGCTGTCTCCAGATTAATCTATAAATTCGGTGCAATTCCAAACAAAAGGAGAGTTTCTCATGAAGTGTGACAAACTGACAGTAATATTTACATGAAACAGGGCCAAGAATTGGCAAAATAAATTTTTAAAAGGACAAAAACAAAGTAAGGAAACACTACACCAAAAACAAAGCTTGTTATAAAATGCTCGCAATTGAGATGGTGTGGCTTCGATACAGGAACAAATGAACAGACCCGATGGAACAGATCAGAGTGCCCAAAACAGACTTACATGAGAAGGAAACATCATATATAACACAAGCAGGGAAAGATGACTTATGAAAAATGGTTCTGTGACAACCAGTTAATCATTTGAAGGGGAGAAAAAAAATCAAGTTCAATTTCTACCTCATACCATAAATAAGAGGTAATTGTGGATAGATTAAAGGCCTAAATGGGTCAGGTGTGGTGGCTCCCATCTGTAAAACCTGCACTTTAGGAGGCTGAGGTGGGAGGGTCACTTGAGGCCAGGAGTTCAAAACCAGCCTGGGCAACAGAGCAAAACCCCTTCTCTAAAAAAAAAAAAAAAGGGTAAGAAAAATTAGCTGGGTGTGGTTGTGTGCACCTATAGTCCCAGCTACTTGGAGGCTAAGACAGAAGGATTGCTTGAGTCCAGGAGTTCAAGGCTGCAGTCACACCACTATCGTCACACCACTGCACTCCAGCCTGGGCAACAAAGCAAGACCCTAACTCTTAAAAAAAAAAAAAAAAAAAAAAAGGTCCTAAATTTATGAAGCAAAGTTTTATAATTTTAGAAGGCAATATAAAGGAGACACAAATAAAGTAAAAAGCAAGCAACAGGCCAAAAGAAGATAACCACAATACATACAACCATTTCATTAATCACACTGGCAAAAATAAAGAGGTTTGGCAATATTAAGCAATGGAAATAATCTAGAAATATAAGAATTCTCATATGCTGCTGTTGGTAAAATAAACTGTTACCACCATTTCAGAGAGCAATTTAGCAACATCTAATGAAGATGACAATGCTTATATTCTAATCAGCCCTGCCCAGGGACACAAAGCTACCTTCTAATTAGCTTTCTACACCTCAGTCTTAACAGCCAATAGTCACTGCCATATAGAAAAACTTCCAACATGTTAAAAAAAAAATCAAAAAGGAAAAAAAGAAAATAGGTGGGAACAAAGGCAATGCTGGAAACAGAGGTAAATTTTTTTTTTTTTTTTTTTTTGAGACAGAGTCTCACTCTTTTTGCCTGGGCTAGAGTGAGTGCCCTGGCAACAGAGTGAGACTCAGTCTCAAAAAAAAAAAAAAAAAAGAAAGAAAGAAAGAAAAGAAAAGAAAGGAAAAAGAAAAATTAGCTGGTCATGGTGGCACATTCTTATAGTCCCAGCTACTTGGGAGGCTGAGGCAGGAGGATCACTTGAGCCCAAGAGTTTGAGAGTTGGAGGCTACAGTGAACTATGATGATGCCGCTGCACTGTACCCAGGGAAACAGAGTAAGACTCTGTCTCAAACACACACACACAGACACACACACAGACACACACACACACACACACACAAAACTCCACAAGAGTTAGAAGGAGAGGTAAAAGAAAACAAATGGACCAATCACCTGAATTTATACAGGAAAGATCAATAAATATGTTTCATTCTTGATGTTGATATTTAGACAATATACGTTTTTCTCTTCTCTAAGAAAATGAGTCACAATAATTGAATCAATAAGCAATAAACAAAAAGCCACGTATGAAATTGAAAGTGTTGTTCAAGAATTATTTCTCACAACTTTCCAGCCACAGACATTTTCACAGGCTAGGTTTTCTGTCATGGAAAGACAATTTCCACGCTAGATCAGTGTTTTCGGGGAGCGCAGAAACATGGCGTGCTTCCCGATAATTCATTTCCCAAAGCCTGCATATCCTGGAGACCCAAGTAGAGATAGGTTAAAAGGGAAACAATGCAAATGTTTTTATGAATACAAATGCATAAATTATTAATATATACGAAATCCTAGTACTGTGTATATAAAATACTATACTATAATGGTTTGTTAAAGACTGCTGCACACAGTGAAACAAAGTAAGGTTTAATCCAAGAACAGGAATCTTTTAATAGTGAGTTATTTCTCATCACAAATACAAACCCAAAGAGAAAAACACTA